TGTATTTTTCTCCAGGTCATCCGGTTTGAACCCCTCCGCATTTAGAATCAACATCACGCGTTTAGAGTAATTTAACTGCTATACATTTCCACATGATGATAAGCCACTTCGTCGAGCTGTCATCTGTAGGCCAGATCGTGTCTGAAAAAGAGCAACATAGCTCAGTGGGCTACTTGGTAAAAAAATAAATTTCGTTTAGTTTTGCCAGAGGAGACGAACCTACGAACTGTGTCCAGCACCTCCATATATGCCTGCAAGCGCACGCACGCTTCCCTACTCCATAGCGATCGTCCATCAACATCACCGTGATTAATTATCATTGAAATGTACACGAGTTAAATGGGAATCTACAAGTGTTTCACATCTTGTAAACCTCACAGATGGTGATGCATCTTGACCAACACTCACACACACTCCGGGCAGGATCTAAAACAGCTGTGGTTGAAACTGCCCATACGATGTCTCTGCCGTTGTATTTCCGTCTTTGGTAGAAAGGCGTGTTGCACTGCACAAATTCTTGCTTGCAACTTTCAACAATTAAGACGAGAGACCAGGACGTGGTGAGATTGAATGGGGTCGCGTGCGAACGTCCAGCGCCACAGTGGTAGGACAGGCGAATCTTGCTCGATGACAAGCCGATGGCCAGTGGTCACATGAGCTCCACAGTAGCAACTCGTGTCAATGACATGACCCCCGAATTTCTACCACCACGATATCGCGACATCACCCAGCAAATGTCCTAGCTCAGGAGATCGGTAACCTGCGGCTCCGGAGCCGTGTGCGGCTCTTTGGATGCCCCCCTGCGGGCAGCAGTTAAATCTTAAGCTAATTGAAATGAATTTAAAGTAAACATAATATATTAAATATGGCAGGGAATGTGTCATTATGGAATGTCTTGGTGACAACAAAATGTACCAACTGTATTGTTAAGTAATAGCTAAGGGGGATATTTATTGTTGTTTGAATATGCCAAGTTTATTCCATCACCTGTTTTGTTTATTTAAGTCGGAATTTGTTGTCTGCTGTATACCTGCTGCTGTGTGTTGTGTACAAGTAGCTCTGCGTGTGATGCGGCTCTCGAACTATATTGATCAAAGACAAGCAAAATGTCTCTTCTTCTTTGGAACGTGTCTGAGCCCAGCTCTAGCTCGAACCTGGCATGCAAGATGCTGATGGCGGGACAGTGTGCAGGCATTTACAACAAGCCTGTGAGCTCAACAAACATTTTGCAGCCTCCTTCCGTTCTTGAGCTGATGTGACCCACGCTCGCCTCCTTACAATCACTGCTGCCCAAGTGCCTGCATTGTGACCAGCTCGGGCACTGAAGTCACCAACGATATGAGACGAGGGGCCACTTTAGTCAACACCCGGGAGATGAGTCGATATAAGACGTATTACTCATCAGCCTTGCCTGCGTCCCCGATTTCAATGCTTGGCTACGTACCATGCGAGAGAAGTTCAACATGCAGTACATACATACGTAAAGACGACTTCAATGCACTTGTTTTGAGATGGTTTCTTTATTAAGGAGCCACGTGCTTACACTCGGACAGGTGAAGACGCCACTGCAACAGCCCCGAGTCTCCTGCACATCTCTCTATATACGGCCCGAGGCCACGCCCCCATTCCCGAACCTTCTCGCTGGTTCTAGACGCTCGCTCCACCAGCAGACTCTACCGTCTTCTTGCATCACCTGGCCACGCTCCCTTCTCGATAATTCCCGTAGCCACCAGTCCATTCGCACTGCAGGCTGCCTCCCTTGTCATTACCTCCCATGGCCACTAGTCCATTCGCACTGCAGGCTGACTCTCCTGTCATTACCTCACGTGGCCACTAGTCCATTCGCACTGCAAGCTGATTCCCCTGTCATTACCTCCCGTGGCCACTAGTCCATTCGCACTGCAGGCTGATTCCCCTGTCATTAACTCCCGTGGCCACTAGTCCATTCGCACTGCAGGCTGACTCCCCTGTCAATACCTCCCGTGGCCACTAGTCCACTCACACTGCAAGCTGACTCCCCTGTCATTACCTCCCGTGGCCACTAGTCTATTCGCACTGCAGGCTAACTCCCCTGTCATTACCTCACTGTCATTACACAGACATACGTCCCTCCACGGATGTTCGTCTTGGGTGGAGGGCATAGGCAACCACCATTCCTGAGCTGTTGCTGAAGAGGCGAGAGCGTACTAAGTGCTCAAGCGCTTCGCCTTCCACGCCTCACGGCCATGTTCCCAGACCTTCGTCATCCGTGTTGATGTTATCCCACCTGGTTCCAGCTCCTGATAAGAGGAATGACAGCATTCCTTTGCCAGCGTGGATTTTATGTTGTTGTTGAACATTCCACGTGGCTCTCTGCAGCAAACGCCTTGACTTTATGTTCTGGAGGCGCCGCAAGGGAAGGGGTGCCAGGCCCTCCGGGGTGTCCCCTCCACATCACGCGTTTACAGTATTTGGCTGCTCTAAATTTCCACAAGATGATAGGCCACTCCGTTGAGCTGTCATTTGTGATGACAAGGCCGCTTCTAAAAAAATTGCTATATAACTCAGTGGGGCCTTACCTGGTAAAATAACAAATATATACTTCGTTTGTGCTTCGTGGTCTCTCAGTGACCAGCCCCGTACACCGCCCTCAGACCCCCCGTGTTGACCACTGCAGTGGCTGTAACATCACGAAAAAATGGGATATAACAACAACAAAAAACCTCTCCAGTAGTGTGCGACTGTGGCCATCCAGGACAGAGAACGTACAACGTGTAACGACGCAGCGCCCGATCCACAAATACGAAGGAGACATCGCAGCGATACAACTGTGTGGACACCCCAACGCGGTTGTCTGGCTTGAGCCACCTGCGTGTGACAATGTAGTCGTCGCTCTGCATCTACGAATACGACGACAACAAGAATAAGATCTTGACTTAAAACTTTCGTGACTGCAGGAATTCATATTCTTTGGTTCTTTCGGTAAAGTTACGTAGATAAAAAATTGTAATAAAAATAAAGTGAATAAAAAAACATTAATGTAGACTGTAGCCTGGTTCTTACTCGGAGTGAGTATACTGGCAGTCTTAATGTAGAATGTAGCCTGGTTATAAAGTTTGGTGAGTGTACTGGGAGTCTAGAATGTAGACTGTAGTCTGGTTCTTAACCTAAGTGAGCGTACTGGCAGTCTATAATGTAGACTTATTCTTGGTTCTTTCAGTAATAAAAAAAAGTAAAATAAAGATCAAAATAAAGACAACGACGTTATCACAACACAAGCTACAGTCTACATTATAGACTGCCAGTACACTCACTCCGATTAAGAACCAGGCTACAGTCTACATTAATGTTTTTGTTTCATTTTTATTCACTTTATTTGTATTATAATTTTTCTATCTACGTGACTTTACCGAAAGAACCAAAGAATAAGAAGAAGATCATCACCATCGGGGCACAATAATCATCTGGCAGTGCTTCTGCTCACGCCACTGCACACAGGGGCTCCACCTGGCACTGGGGGTGTCACCACGGCGCCCGTGCTAGGCCAGGTGCACTTTGAGGCACGTGAAGTGTCGAGGGCTCGCTACCTGACAGGAGGTCACGGAACCGTTTCAGTTTTCATTTATTAGGTATAGCCCTGTGAGCCATTCGGCTCTTGAATCTGGTGCAACCGCAACAAACACAAAACAAAAACATGAACAAGAAAACATCTTAAAGTGACAATGCGCAAACAGAAAATCCAGAAAAAACTGCAAAATCTTCCAGAAAAAAAGCCCCGTACACCAACGCTGTGCAAAAATCCCAGTGGGATGCAAGTCAAACAACAACCACAACAACCACAAGACAACTTAGGTGGTGCCATGGGTCGGCTGGCTGAGATTCGCCACTAAGTGGCGATGATGTCACCACGACGCTTGTGCCAGGCCATGTGCACCTTGAGGCCACGCGAAGTGTCGAACGCCCGCTGGCAAGAGGTCACGGGGCAGACCCAGCAGGTACCACGGGTCGACTGACCGAGATGACCGAGACGAGTGGCTGATGCACCACCTGTGCCCCCTACTGTGCCAACTTGCTGTGATTTAGCCACCCGGCGCTCCGCTCGTTGTTGTGAGCGTCGCTCCTCCGCGGTCCGCTGTTTGTGGAGGGCGACTGCCTCCAATTGCTGCCCGGTTAACACAAGAAACAAAGATCCTCCGTGTAGCCTGGACAGGCTGTTGGGGCAAGCGCTGTAGGGGAGCAACACCTGTGAAGGGGGTGGGTGGCCAGCACCACGCCCGACCGCCTTTGTCTCCCCACTGCTAATATTTTACACACAACACCCAGGTACACATTTTTTTAAAGGCTGAGTCAACCTAGGGGATGCCCCGGGCTTAAAATATTCGCCACTGGTTATTGGTGGTGAGAGGGGGGGATGTTGGACTCGGTTTGGTGTTTGGGCTGGGTAGCTCGGCGCGCTAACCACTGCGCCACCGCTCCCCGTGCACAGACACTCGCCTCCCTGCCACGTCAACACGGGGGCAGCACTGAGCTGGCGAGTCGCGAACACTCCACCTCCACACTCCTCCTCCTCCTGCTCCACCTCCTCCTCCACAATCCACCACACTCCTCCACCTCCTCCACACTCCCCCACCACACTCCTCCTGCTGCTCCACACTCCTCCTCCACACCCCTCCTCTTCCACACTCCTCCTCCTGCTCCTCCTCCTCCACACCCCTCCTCCTCCACACTCCTCCTTCTGCTCCACCTCCTCCTCCACATCCCTCCTCCTCCACACTCCTCCTGCTCCACCTCCTCCACACTCCTCCTCCACACTCCTCCTCCTGCTCCACCTCCTCCTCCACATCCCTCCTCCTGCTCCACCTCCTCTTCCACACTCCTCCTCCACCACCCTCCTCCTGCTCCTCCTCCCTGCACACCCCTCCTCCTCCACACTCGTGCCTCGCTCCCTCGCTCGCCGTGCCGCCCCCAACGCCCCCCTCGCCCCTTTCACTCTCACGCACTTCGCTCACACGCGCACACAGACTCACACACACACAACCACACACTCTCAAACACGCCCTCGCACTACTCGCTCTCACGACTCGCTCTCTTCTCACTCTCACGCGCTCTCAATCACTCGCTCCCTCTCTCTGTCCCTCTCAATCACACACACATCGACTCACACACAGACTCACACACAGACACTCACACACACACAGACTCACACACACACAGACTCACACACCGACTCACACACACTGACTCACCCACACACACTGACTCACACACACCGACTCACACACACACTCACACACAGACACTCACACACACACAGACTCACACACACTCACACCCACACAGACTCACACACACAGACTCACACACCGACTCACACACACTGACTCACCCACACACACCGACTCACACACACCGACTCACACACACACACACCGACTCACTCACACACCGACTCACTCACACAGACTCACACCCACACACACTGACTCTCTCACACACACAGACTCACACTAACACCTACTCACACACACACACCGACTCTCTCACTCTCTCACACACACAGACTCACACAAACACCGACTCACACACACAGACTCACACTAACACTGACTCACACCGACTCACACACACAGACTCTCTCACTCTCTCACTCGCCCTCTGCGTTGAGCGAGGCCACCCCCAGCGCGAGCAGCCTCCCTCCACCCCACCGCATGCGGCTGCTGCTCCAGCGGGGCCGTGCCGCCTCTAGGTCAACTTAGCCTCAAGTGAGTACTCCGACGGTACTCGTCGTTACGCCGCCCTCGTGGGTGGCAGCGCCGTGCGGGGAGACTAAGGCGTCGGGCCGGTCTCAATAGGTGCTCGCTAACAACACTTTGCTGTCGAGAGTGATAACAATCCAACTTCCGTCACCAGCTCGCCACGGAGACGTGCACCTAGCCTGGCACCACACTGCACCACACTTCACCACACTGCACCACACTGCACCACACTTCACCACACTGCACCACACTTCACCACACTGCACCACACTTCACCACACTTCATCACACTGCACCACACTTCATCGCACTGCACCGCACTTCACCGCACTTCACCACACTTCACCACACTTCACCACACTTCACCACACTGCACCACACTTCACCACACTGCACCACACTCTTCACCACACACTTCACCACACGTCACCACACGTCACCACACTGCACCACACTGCACCACACTGCACCACACTTCACCACACTTCACACTTCATCACACTGCACCACACTGCACCACACTTCACCACACTGCACCACACTTCACCACACTGCACCACACTTCACCACACTGCACCACACTTCACCACACTGCACCACACTTCACCACACTTCATCACACTGCACCACACTTCATCACACTTCACCACACTTCATCACACTGCACCACACTTCACACTTCATCACACTTCACCACACTTCATCACACTGCACCACACTGCACCACACTTCACCACACTGCACCACACTTCATCACACTGCACCACACTTCATCACACTGCACCACACTTCACCACACTTCATCACACTGCACCACATTTCACCACACTGCACCACACTACACCACACTTCACCACACTTCACCACACGTCACCACACTTCACCACACGTCACCACACTTCACCACACGTCACCACACTTCACCACACGTCACCACACTGCACCACACGTCACCACACTTCACCACACTTCACCACACTGCACCACACTTCACCACACTGCACCACACTTCACCACACTTCACCACACTTCAACACACTTCACCACACTTCATCACACTTCAACACACTTCACCACACTTCACCACACTTTACCACACTTCACAACACTTCACCACACTTCACCACACTTCACCACACTTCACCACACTTCACCACACTTCACCACACTTCACCACACTTCACCACACTGCACCACACTTCACCACACTTCACCACACTCTTCACCATTCTTCACCACTGCACCACACTTCACCACTCTTCACCACACTTCACCACACTTCACCACACTTCACCACACCTCACCACACTTCACCACACCTCACCACACTGCACCACACTTCACCACACTCTTCACCACTCTTCACCACACTGCACCACACTTCACACTTCACCACTCTTCACCACACTGCACCACACTTCACCACACTTCACCACACTCTTCACCACTCTTCACCACACTGCACCACACTTCACCACACTCTTCACCACTCTTCACCACACTGCACCACACTTCACCACACTGCACCACACTTCACCACACTTCACCACACTCTTCACCACTCTTCACCACACTGCGCCACACTTCACCACACTCTTCACCACTCTTCACCACACTGCACCACACTTCACCACACTTCACCACTCTTCACCACACTGCACCACACTTCACCACACTTCACCACTCTTCACCACACTGCACCACACTTCACCATACTTCACACTTCACCACACTTCACCACACTGCACCACACTGCACCACACTTCACCACACTGCACAACACTTCATCACTCTTCACCACACTGCACCACACTTCACCACACTGCACCACACGTCACCACACTTCACACTGCACCACACTTCACCACACTTCACCACACCGCACTACACTTCACCACACTTCACACTGCACCACACTTCACCACACTTCACCACACCGCACTACACGTCACCACACTTAACCACACTGCACCACACTTCACCACACTGCACCACACTGCACCATACTTCACACTTCACCACTCTTCACCACACTGCACCATACGGATTGCCGCTCGCCACTGACGTGAGCCGGGCCCGGGGTTGTGAGCGCGCAATGCGCTAACCATTGCGCCACCGCTCAACCGCGAAGTGTGTACAAGTGTGTGTGTACACGTGTGTGTGTGTACACGTGTGTGTATGTGTGTACGTGTGTGTGTGCGTGTGTGTGTGTACGTGTGCGTGTGTGTACGTGTGTGTGTGTGTACGTGTGTGTGTAGGTGTGTGTGTGTGTACACGTGTGTGTGTACACGTGTGTGTGTGTGCACGTGTGTGTATGTGTGTGTGTTAGACTGTTAACACGGCACTGTGCGCATGAATGGAAGGTTTTGTGTATGAATCATTTTTGTGGGGGGGGGGGAGGGAGCTGTTGGTGTGCGTGCGTGTGGTGATGTCAACCTGTGTCAATGTGTCTGTGTGTGTCTGTGTGTGTGTTTCTTTGTGTGTCTGTGTCTATGTCTGTGTGTGTGTGTCTTTGTGTCTGTGTCTTTGTGTCTGTGTGTCTCTGTGTGTCTGTGTATCTCTGTGTGTTTGTGTCAATGTGTCTGCGTGTTTCTGTGTCTGTGTGTGTCTCTGTGTGTCAATGTGTCTGCGTGTTTCTGTGTGTGTGTGTGTCTTTGTGTCTGTGTGTCTCTGTGTCTGTGTGTGTCTGTGTGTGTGTGTGTCTTTGTGTCTGTGTGTGTGTGTCTGTGTCTATGTCTGTGTGTGTGTGTCTCTGTGTCTTTGTGTGTGTTTCTGTGTCTGTGTGTGTCTATGTCTGTGTGTGTGTGTCTCTGTGTGTGTCTCTGTGTCTGTGTGTCTCTGTGTCTGTGTGTCTGTGAGGAGCGGTGGCGTAGTGGTTAGCGCTCCGCTATGAACCCGGCCACCCGGGTTCGATTCCCGCTGCTCACGGCCAACACCGTAGTGACGATTATCTGAACCGGTCCTGGGCCTCCCCTAGGTCGACTCAGCCTCAAATGAGTACCTGTAAACATCGACACTTGCCCCAACAGTCTGTTAAGGCTGCTTGGGGGATCTTTGTCTTTGGTGATGTAGTAGAGTGCCGAGCGCGCTGCACTACGAACCCGGCCACCCGAGTTCGATTCCCACTCACGGCCAGTGACGATTATTTGAACCGGTCCTGGGGGCCTCAAATGAGTACGATGTGTCAACATTTCCACTGGGGAGACAAAGGCGGTGCTGGCCACCCCGTGTAGATGCTGCTCACTAACAGCACTTGCCCCCACAGTCTGTTAAGGCGACACGTGCCGTTACCATGCGCAGCGCGCCCCCATCTCCTCGGAACTCGAAGCTCAGCGGGAACGCGCCTGGACAGCAATTGGATGGGCCTGGACAGCGCTTGAATGAGCTATCGTCATGCATAACAGGTGTTATAGGCTGTGAAGGGTACACCGAGAGGTGAGCAGAGATCAGTGCGACTACGCTACCCACATTCACCAAATGTGATTGTGTATTTGAAATCGAAGAACTTTTGAATCGGTCACTTAATCTTGTAGAAAGGGCCCCGAGACGTCGCCTATTAAATACAACACTGTGTTCCTTTTAAGGCCGTAGTTTTAATGCCACGGAACGTGTTGAGTTTGTTATTTGTCGTCGGTATTTATGCTTTTGCACGACTGCTAATGCAATAGCAGCATCAGCATCTTCATCTGATTGTGCGTTCAATATCCCACCACCTCGGCTACAGCGGTCTCTCTAGCTTGGAGAAGTTTACACTTGGGAGACAGTATAAACATCACTGCTCCGAACGCGATGGATTTCCCGTTAGAACCCCTCAAAGTGCGGCGTGCCTGGAGGAGGATGAAACATCGCCCTGATGGAACCACTCGAAGCGAGACAGCTCATAGCCCAGCGACGAGACTGGGATGACTTGTGAAAGTCGGGCCCAGCGGGGCCCAAATTGCCGTGCGATCTCAGGTGGCCCCCCAACAAACAAACAGGGCCCAGGTGAGAAATAATTATTGGGAGTCTGCCGAATATTGAGGAGATGTAATGCCAAGTGAGAGCGTAAATAAGCATTGAAGCGTACGCAGAGGTAACACAATATTTACATTTAAAAAAATGTTAATACATTTGTAGCTATGGCCACATTTGACAATTCCCCCACAGAGAATCGGTCCACCGGCCCGCGCAATGGACCGGCCCACCGGGCATTTGTCCTACGGACTGCTGCCCCTGTGGATTGTCCGGGCCTGCTCACACCCGTCTACCCCCCCCCCCCCGCCACTACGTTGTCATTGACAGCGAGTTTTAGTGGTGGAGGTCGCTAAATTACTTTTTATGATGCCCCCCCCCCCACCGCCACTCCCTTGTGGTGCCACTTGTGGGCAGAACTACGATGGTTTGTGTTGTTGTTGCACTGACGGCCCAGGGCTGGAAATAGGAAAAAATTACTCTGGCAACTCATAAATGGTTCAACCCCCCCCCCCCCAACTAGATTTGCTTTGTGTGTGGGTCTCTGTGCGTGTCTGTGGCTATCTGTGGCTCTTTTTGTTCATCTGGGGGGGGGGGGGGGGTCTATCTGTGATTCAAATAAAAAAAGATGAATAATTGATTCATTCCAGAACGCAGTCGCAGGGTTCACATTTTTACACTCATCACGGCGATTCCGGCCTATTTCCGCCACCGCTGATGTCCATGGTGTAGAGCGGTGGTCTTCATCGCAAGGCCCGCAGGTCACTCGCGGCCCCTGGTGGCCTTTACTGCGGCCCCCGACAATACACGAATTCGAACATACAGGCGGTGTGGGGGCCCTCGCACCTCGGAAAACGTGTGGAGTCTGTATGCAGACTGTAGTGGGCACTTCGCTGGGTCGGTGGTCGTGGTGGCGGCTATGGACGCCTGCAGTGCAGCACTGTGGAGGCGATGGTTGGCGGATCACAGGAATGTTGGGTGGGCGTCGAGGTGCCCTACCCAGGGCTCGCCACGAGAAAGCAGTGCAAGCGAGTGGACTAATCGCCATCTGTTTC